CCAAGTGTTTTCCGATGGCGTGCTTTCAGTCTACGTTCAGAAAACATTCATCTTGAAATGCGTGCCTCACGCAAATGTGTTTGTCATCGATTAATGTCAGCTGAATGTAGCAACAAGACTGTGTCTCTGTATCCCACTGTGTACAGCTGACAGCAAATCACCCCAACTACAGTGAACAGGACTTGTGTAACTTTCACTGTGGTGGCCATGGCTGATGCTGAACAAGCCCCACTGTGTTGAACTGGGTCATCCAGGATTTCCTAATGCTTAATGCAATAATGTAATTCCAAGACTACTTTAGTTTGTTCTTTTCTAAAAGATAAGGCAGGAAAAAAAGTGTGAGAATATGTTTTCCCTTACATTTTCATCTTATTTGATTTATTAGATAAACCAGACAGAACATGAAAGAGTGCAAGCTGCTGGAGTCTAAAAACATTTTTGAGAAGTACTGCAATACTGAAAGATTCAAAATATTGTAAAACCTGGTCTGAATAAAAAGCTGCATGACTCTAGATTCTGTGTCAAGGTTCTTAAAATGCACTCATGGACAAATGTCAGACTATGTGGAGAAAAAAAAACACAGTGTCATCAGTGTAGTGTGGTAATGACACTCCTCGAACGCAGCTACTCATACAAATCAATGGATATCACTGTATAATTATGGGATACTAAAACATCCTGCTGCACCAGTACAATCATCAATGCAGTCATGAGCTGCAGTAGAAAAGGCCAGAATAGTCTCTGTAACCTTTATTCCCTTCTAAGCAACAAAAAAACTAATTGACTGAATTCTATGTGCAGGTAAGGAGCTCTGCCAACACAAGCTGGCTTGTATCATAACCTTTTTGTCTCTGTTTTTGGCACGCATCTGCGTTCAGGGAACGGTGTGTAGAAGATTATAGAGGGGGAACAAACACAAGTTGGTGAAATGAAAAGAAGAAGAGAGGAGAGGAGTGACTGACGGAGAGGATGAGGGAGAGAGGGGAGGCGGTCTGGTGGAGTGCAAGTGCTTGAGAGATGAAGATAGAAAGTGAAAGGGAAGAGAAATAATGAGAGAAGGGGAAAAATGTTCCCACTCTCTGAGAGATGAATTGGTTTATAGTTTGCAGACAGCCTTTTCAGTGAATCACTGGAAGGACTATATCCATCCTCTTCTTCGCTAATAAGACAGAGAATCCCCAAGACACAACCGCAAGGATCTATTCATTTGTCTCCAATAACACAGCCACCTTTCTGCTCGTATTAGCCAGGATTTGCATAGCTACATTTGCATAAGGATTTAATAATGTCCTCTGAATGAGGCAAAATGCACCTGTCAATCATTCTCAGTTCACTAAAAGGTTTTTGTGCTCTTCAAGGCAACAACTGGATCAGGCACTCTGTGCACAAGCAATATGAGTTCTATAGGATGTGATTAAATTTGTAGCAAATATCAAATCTGATTGTTGAATCTTGTGTATTTCAAATTGCTAATCAAATGCAGGTAGTTCAAAATGTACATTTGAATTTATAATTTAAACTTTTCTGTGAATTTTATTATACAATACTTTGTAAATATTTGTACTACCTCTTATGTACTTATTTTTAGTTCTCAAGAAGCAAGATTTTCGGGTAAAAACAAGCTCCAGCAGATAAATAGCATCTGAATCCATATCCAGCTAAAAACAGGCATAGGACCTGAGAGATACATTGTTCTCCAGTTATTAATCTTCTGAACACAGAGTTTTCCATTGGTACCTTTCTGGAAATCACCTTGTTAGTACAAAAATACTTTTTTTTTTTTGTCAACCTGGGCTGTATTTGTTATTGTATCCGTCTGTGAACACATAGCAACTGAGCCATAACTAATGAATGGGACTGACCCAAGGCTGGACAGTTCGGATCATAAGACTCCCTCAGAAGGAGGCAATTCTTCCTTTCTTTGTACAACACTGGGATCTCCTGTCAGACAACATAGTGGCTAAGATGGAAAGCCACATGGTATATGAGAGAGGCTCCGGCAAGAAGACATATTAACACCAGATGAGTCAAGGACCAGCTAATTAACTCCACAATCTCAGGTCCAGTCAAGACTAAAAGACCAGACATACAAACTTGTGCATTGCCAGAACTGACATGAAGGTCTGTGATTGGACTTAAGCGATACTGGAATGCTTAGAACTATAAGTCCCTACATGAAACATCAACACACTAAAAAATCTCTTTAGAGATTAATTTAAAGCAGGTCAAATGTGACATAGACAGAGATAAAGTTTTCTTCCTGCTACTGTTCTGCATAGGCTTGAACCATCTCTGAAAGATCATCACAAAAAGTAGTGAAGGATACTGGTTCCAGTGTGGAGCAGTCAACAACTGCATGTCCCAGCTCCTTGGAAGACATCAAGCTGTATGCCAAAATGACTGAGATATCTATTTACTGATTTGCCTCACTAATATACCTGTATACAACAACAACCAAAAAAAGATTGTAAGAAAGTCAGCCGCAACCATGTACCAACAAAGAAGAAGGTCCTAAACAGCCATTTGTACATGGATGTCCTGCCTCTATGCAATGTTTCACCTTAAATTTAGAATCTTTATACTAAGCAGGAAAAAAATGTCTGGGGAATTCAATGTCTTACGAGTACTGATTACCTTCAAACCAAAGGAGAAGAGTCACAAATCTGTGCTCAACTTTAGTCAGTCATTAGTGTTGAAAACCACAAACCAGGACATAAATATGGCTGCCGCTGCGCATTCAGAGCTAAGTTTCAACAGCAACGTCAAATGAATTACAAAGTCCGTTCGCTATTATCGTAAGATTGTTTCTGAACTAAAAGGCTAAGGTTTCAGTGCAATTTAGAGCTGGTCTGTGCATTTATCTTGATATTGTGCTTGAGATCTTGAGCTGACTTGATTGCTGTAACAGAGTGCTTACTGGTCTGCCTAAAAGTCTGATCAGATAGCTGCAGCTAAATTAGAAAGGTGCTCCTTGAACCTTTTTTAAAAAAGTGGTTTAATTTACTCCAGTTCCTTGGTTCCTATAAGAGGGTCAATTAAATAAAGTATTTAAAATATTGCTTTTGGTTAAAGATATAGTTTGGGACCAGACTACATTAAAGACAATGATCTTCCAGACATTGTACGTAATCATAATTGGGTTCGCTTTAAGTCCCAAAAGTTGCAACCAAACATGCAGAAGGTATCCAACAATTTTCAGTCAGGTCATCTGGACAGTTTCTTTTTTTGCTGAAACGTTTCACCTTCCATCCAGAAGGCTTCATCAGTCAAGGAAACACACAACCGATTCTTCCCTCAAACAGCTTACTCCAAAGTGGAAAAAAACAGTTATGTTGGTGCTAAGATGGTCTCTTTGGCACCTGGATTATTGAGCATGGACTTTTTGATGCAGAAGGTACTTTGTGTCTATGTTAAATGTGGAACAGACTCCAAGAACTAGGTCTAATTGATACCGCATTTGATTGACTGCAATAAAATAAAGGTAAAGCTTTCACTGTTTTATTTCATTTATTGAGCGTTCTTATTTCCTGCATTTCATTTTATTTTATGCATCACTGTTGACATACAGTAGTTTGAACTTTTTTTTTAAAGCAAGTTAAACTGTTATTCTCAAATTGTGTTATATAAATAAATTTGTGTGGCTCTTTTAATTCACCTTAAACATCTGTCTTTAGCATCTTCTATGTGTTTGGTTTCTACTGTGTGAGTCAGAGGAGCAGTTGCATCACGACCCAAGAAGCTGCAGCAGACTAATATAGTTAAAGTATTTTCTGTTCATTTATCTCAGGCAATGTAGGAGGAAAAAACATAAAAGCACGGTGCTATATGATGGCTGCTAAAACAATGAAATCAGTTGGGGTTTTTTTCAAATACTTATTTTGGATTCAAGTGAAAAGTAGACCACTTGCCAAAAAATGTCTGTTTGTGTCAATCTGGTTTGTGACAGAATAAAATTCAGACTTGTGCTGTTTTGACTCTGACAGTTAAATGCAAATCACCTAGGAGATGTTTACTGTAAAAATTGATTTATACAGGTATTTGGAAATACTCTTGTTTTTTGTCAAATTGATAGAAAACTGTATGTCTAACAAAACCTCAAGTGACAATGACCTTTCTAAATACATAAAATGACCTTTTAAATCCTTTAATGACTAAATTATAAATGTGAGTGATAGACGTATATAGACTTGCAAGGTTTATGTAATATGGTGGAGCCAGCAGCTTACAGATCATAAAATCTGAAAGAGACTGAAATAGTTTATACCTTATCCAAACTACCCATTTAGGCTTTTGTTAAACCAATAAAAACATCAAGTTTTCTCAACATTATATTTAGACTTAATAATGCCTTAACTGAAAAAAATCTGTGCAGCTGATTATGCAAATTATTCCCACCTTTATGTCCATCCTTTAACTGCCTGCAGCTGCTCATTTTCATACAAACCTTAATGTCTAAATCCCTTTTTCTTCAAATTGTTGTTAGCACACAGCAGGTCCACAAAGAAAATGCTCAACCATGGTGTGAGCATTTTGTTTCACTCGAGATGTTTTTCTTTGTTAGAAGAAAAAAAGATTGCAAATCTGTTGGCACAGATTAACAAGGCTAAAATTTTGGATTGGAAGACATGTAAGTTTGATTAAATTTTTCTAAGGTAACTTTAAATATTTTATCTTCAACAATTCTAAGACTTATATGATAAAATCTAAATAAAAAAAACATCAGTTTGTAAGTACAAGAACACTGGAATTATTGACACAAATCTGAAAACTGTAGTAGAAAAACAAAATCTTAACACACCTGTTTAAAGCAAGGCGTTTTGAACCTAGTTTGATTATAGTCGACTTTATACTGATTTGTCACGGTGAAGCCAGAGATGACCGTCAACGGTAACTAAAACATATTTGGTACTATGCCAAGCTTAAACCTGCATTTTCATCTCAACAATAGAAAGAAGAAAGAACTTGTAAATGCATAGTTTGTCCTTTTTGTGTGATTGTACCTTCCAGCCGCTGCCTGCCTCTCTGTAGTAGGGGAAGTTGTCACAGATCCACTGGTATATCTCACTGAGGGTCATCCGTTTGCGAGGTGACCCATTGATGGCAAAGGTAATGAGGCTGGCGTAGCTGTAGGGGGGTTTACCGTCTCTGTGCTGTGCTGCTTCTTCTTGGTCCAGTGTTGTTCCCGGGTCCAAATGTACCATTTTCTTGCCAGGTCCATGCCCGTGGTGGAGCATGTGGTGGTGATGGTGCCCTAAGTGGCCATGGTGGCGCCCCGCATCTGTCTTCTGTATGGCTGCCCTCATGCCGAGCTGGGGAAGCCAGTCCATTGAAGTAAGGCTACTCTCCAGCTCAGAGGTCATAGTTACGGATCCTTAAGAGGTCGAAGAAGAAGATGTGAGGCTCAGCAATGTGGTGTGTGGGGGATCTCCTGTTGGCTCACTGAACGGGTTCTGTGCAGCAGTCTTGGCTCAGTCCTAGAAGGAGCAGAAGGTTTATTTACAACATCTATTCATCTTCTGTAGCTGGAGCAAAAACCACATTTGGCAGAGACACATGGATATAAAGTTGCACATTACTTTTCACATACTGTCTAGCTTTGTGTAACGCAAATCTAAATATTTTGGTATTTTAATCACTTTGTCTTTTTGCAGCACATAAACATTATTTGCAATGTGATCTATGGATCTTAAAAACAGTTTAACATACAGGTACAATTAATCATCCATTCATGACCACAGCAGCGTGAGGGTGCGCATAAGGTGAGTGAGTGCCTTACTCGTCCCATTTCTTTCCATCTTTCTTTTGGCCAAAGCATCTGGGGAAGTCGCTGAAGTGAAAGGTAGAGTCCTCCCCTTGTGCATTTTCAGAGTCTTCATTTAGCCACTAGTATGGCTACTACTGCTGAAAAGTATAAGCACAAAACCACACAAGACGGTGAGCTTGCACTGCCAGACAACCCTCATAAGATATTAATACCGCACAACCATTCAACTGGACTCGGCATCTGTCCAACCTGATTAAAACTTTTCTCCCTTTCCCATTTCTGTGTTGTGTCTATCTGGATAGGCTCAAAGTCTCATTCCCTCCAAAGTGGAAATGTCAATTGGATCTGCAGGGTGACTAAAAGCTGGGGAATTGTTTTCACAAGTGCCTGCCAAATGGGGGGAACAGCTTGGGAGGAATTCCAACCCTCTGGAGGAGCTAAAAAGGCTCGTCCCTTTCTCCCTCTATGTCTAGCCCACCACCCCACACACTTTCACTTGTTCATTTTCTGACTCAATGTGTCTCACTCTCCCAACAAGTTCGTGTCCTCCTTTCTGTCCCAGTCAGACTCTCAGATCCTTGTCAGACAAACACAGTGGGGAAAAAAGCTTGGCAATCCTCAACCTTTTAATTTGTGTTTTTAAGCGCAAGCTAACCCTAAAAAATATATTTGTAGTTAAGCTCAATAGGAACACATAATAAGGCGTTTTGGAAATAATTTTTGCACGATTCAGGACAAAAAAAAAGAAGAAGAATTGGCTGCACGCAAAAAAAAGTACCAATTGTTCTGTAGTTTTGTTAGTCACGAAAATTTGCCGAGTTGTTATTACTGGACTGAGAATGTCACATAACTGTTAGACATCACAGGAGATTCAGCCATGCTCTAATTTGACAATGATCAACTTCTTTACCTAGTACATTGGAAAGACAAGTTCCTTACACTCTGTGAAATACGGGTAAAAGAAACAGTACACCAATGACAATAAACAGTTCACAGCCATTGTATAGACTTAAGCAACAAATATGAAGGAAAACAAATGAAAACATCCTTTACCATCTTCCATGCTATGTGTGTCCTTCAAAAAAAATTGCCAAAGTTTTCACCATTCAAGATGTAGTGACTTAAAAAAAATGCAATAACATCAATAAACATGCCTACAAAGATGAAACACCTTTGTTTCTCTTTCCACCTTCTGCAATGGAAAGCCTTAAAAACTAGCATAAGCAGAGGGGGGAAATACTCAGCATCTGAAATGTCCTTGCTTAATTGCAAAGAGAAAGAAAAAAAAGTGCATGTTAAGAAGTGGATTCATCAAGTCGAAGGAGCCAAGCCATGGAACTAGAGCAAAGAAGGAAGAATCTAGAGAAACTCAATAAGGTTTCTTGCATAAAAGCAGCCCACATTTTCTCTTCCGGGCTCTACCACTGTGGGAGAAGCGTAGCCAAACCTTTCTTCCAAATCCCAGAAAGCCCTCCTAATTAGTGTGCCTTGTTTCATTTTTCCTGAGGTTTAAGTGGTGGTGGGTAGGTGGGAACTGGGTGGTGACATACAAGACACAGCACAACAAGTACTTATTTTCTTCTCATTAAAAGAAGGCTCAAACTGCAAATCAGCCTGCCACAAGTTCCGACCTGCTGCGTTCTCGTGGCTGTTGTTGTTGAATAGTTTGGGAGCGTGGGCCGGCTGAGCAGTCGCACGGTGAAGCTTCACATGGCTAGCCTGATGAGGTGTTGGGATGATGAGTAATGGCGTAGAGCAAAGATAGAAAAATAAGGGGACATGACTCGGCTTGTGGGAAGAGGGGTCCTGCTGGGTGGGTAAACCCAACCAATTACCTAACCTTTGTTTCCTGATATCAGAGACAACGCTTTACATGATGGAGTGCAAGGGCAATCACTGCAACAACAATATCAGTTAAATAACTTATTTTGCTACATTTCAGGAGAACCAACTGATGCAACCACTGGATGGTAATCAAAGCAACCAGTTTGTGCATACAAAGGTTATGCACCTATATTACTGTTTAAGGATGTGACGTTTGGACCAAGCCTTACCCAAACCCATAACCCAAGCGCATTTGTTGGACAGATAAAAATTAGGGATGCGCGATAATATCGGCAAGATATCAGTATCGGCCGCAATTAGCGATAAAGTTAAATATTGGACAATCCATCAAAATAACTCACTGATCGATATAAAAGGTGCTGGTTTTTTAAATATACATTATATATGTATATAGTGTTACGTCATTTTCAGCCCCCTTTTTGGCATCTGCATTTGGCAGCAGGCCAAATTGACAAAGACCATGCAAAATAATGCAGTATTTTAATTCCACAACAGAGAAAGCTATGTAGTCTCTGTAAGTAGGTCTAGGGAAAAAAGTATCAGTATTGGTATCGGTTATCGGCCAAAAATTCAATATCATGCATCCCTAGTAAAAATGATCTGAGTGAACAATTTGTACTTTGGAACTACCATTAAATGTTTTGTCGCATGCGTCCCGTTTTATTTACAGAACGTACACTGTCAGAAAACGCAAAACTTTTTACATGAGGTACACATTTTGTAGCTAGGTTGGGTGTTGAGTTTAGAATCTTATGGCAGCCTTGTATGCTTTAAGACAATAATTAATTCCATCCATCCATTATCTTTACCCGCTTATTCCATTTTGGGTCACGGGGGTCGCTGGTGCCCATGTCCAGCAATCACTGTGCGAGGGGCGGGGTACACCCTGGACAGGTCGCAAGTCCATCACAGGGCCACATAGAGACAAACGAGACAAACAACCATTCACTCTCCCACTCACACCTAGGGACAATTTAGAGTTACCAATCAGCCTAACATGCATGTTTTTGGTCTGTGGGAGGAAACCGGAGTACCCGGAGAAAACCCACGCATGCACGGAGAGAACATGCAAACTCCACCCAGAAGGCCCCTGGACCGGGGTTTGAACCAAGGACCTGCTCGCTGAGAGGCAGCAGCTCTACCAGTTGCGCCACCGTGCTGCCACAATAATTAATTGAGTTGTTTAAATACATTTAGCATAATTTGCCACAGAATATTTTTAAAGACAGATGTCATCGAGAGGATGGTAGCAGAGGTCCAACAAATGGTAAAAAAAATTAAAAATCTGATTTTTTTTAATTATTTTACTCATGAGTGTGTGCCATCAGCAGGTATTTACAGAAAAAATTACAAACATTATTTTTAATATAAGGCATAGACGTCTATAAGCAATAAACTTTTTTTTTTTTATCATCCCTTCCTCAGAAAAAATAAATAAATAAATAAATGCACTAGTCTTTGCATGGTACATACTGCTTTGATGACTAGGAATATTGTCGCCTTAAAAGACATGAGGATATGTTTGATTGAATGTATTCACCCATTAGATTTTGTAGCTGTTATGCACTCACTCAGCTGCATGCATCACTAACAGCCAACAGTCCCCCGCTGCTAGCAGGCTTTTAGACTGAGAGAGGCTTTACAGTTCTGCATTTTAATAGAGAACTTTCAATGGAGTGACTGGGGATGGGTGAGAAAAGAGGGGATGAGTTGGGGTGGAGGTGGGGGGGGGGGGGGCACTCAAAAGAAAGAGGCATCAAAATATTTTCAGAGCAAAATGAAGTAATGACAAAATACCCACCCGGAGAGCGAACAGAGCAGAAGGGGTTTGTGGAAAGGACTGCTTTGGCAAGTGTAAGGCTAATGTGTCAAAGGAAACTCTGTAGGCATTCTGAGCACTGACATGTCTAGAAGTGAGGGCCATTCAAAGGAAGGGGGAAAAGGTCCAAAAAGCAGCATTGAATGTCTTAATTACTTTCTGCTTCAGCAAAACATAACCCTGAAAAGGTTCAATTATAAGATATCAAGGCAAATCAGCTGCCCTCTGTGGCTGTTTGCTCTTCCCTAAATGGAGCTAGGTTAAGCAATTATAACTTGATACTTTTTTCCCCATTTTTTCATGAGACATGGAGAAGCAGCAACGAAATTCACTACTTAAAAAGTGAGATACCTTTTGTAGCATCTGTGTTTCGAGAGATTGGTCAAGCAAACTTGTGTGTAGAAGATTAAAAGCATTATTACATGGGGTGATATTCTATCGATGACAGACACTTTCATTTGCTGCCTCATATCAAACAAGTTCATCCAGTGGCATCTGAATTTTAAAAAAAAGAACGTTGTGATTTACTCCATCTTTCTAAGGTCTGAAAGAAAATCTTAATCAAAAAGAAAATAGTATCAGAGGAATTCAATCAGCCATTGAATCCCTGCAGGCTAAGAGCCGAGTCCACCTGAAAACATCTGCCGAGGCACGAGTTAGCAACTCCTTCCCTCCATTGACTATGGCGACATTATTTACATGAACACTCCTACAAGCACTCTGCAGATGTTTGATGCTGTCTATCACGGTGCACTAAGATTCATAACTGGCTGTACCTACCGTATCCACCATTACACCCTGTATTTACTAGTCAACTGGTCACCATTAACTTCACGCAGACTCTCCCACTGGTACATTTTCATCTTTAAATCTTGGTCTGTTGCCTTCATACATCTCCTCCTATGTCACTGCATGAGTGCAGTTACAGCGTGCGCTCT